AAAAAAAAAAAAGACACTGACCCATATACTTTAGTTTTGTGTATTTCACTGTACATAAATTATATTTTAATAAAATGCATTAAAAATAAAAAAATGATCATGCTCAGCTCTCTGAACATGCAGGATGCATTCCAGAAATAGAGGAATAACTAAATATTTAAAACTTAATACAAAACATCAATGACAAAAGGGGGGAAGCCATCTTAGACAAACAACACGCATTCCTGCTAACTGCACTCAGTGAACCTGACCTTGAATCTCATCAGGGACGTCTAGTTCAATCCGACAGGGTGCTAAACACAAACTCAACAGGCAGTTGGAACGGCCCTCCCTTTACAGTCAGGGATGAGACAAGGAAGCCTAGCACCGCTAACTTCAGTAGCTTCCTACAAATTCCAACGCTCCAATTACTGATACACAAAGTATGAAGTATACAGCCATCAGTAACAGGCTATAGATTAAATGGAACACTGACCAACCACGGAGCTGCACAGAAACATGCCCTGTGAGGATATAAAGTTACTGCCGGGGTCCCCCTCAGGTGGGGACTCTTAATGAATTCAGCTCCTCCCTGTGATTGGTGACACAGCGGTTAGCACTCGGCTGCGAACCAAAGGTCGGTGGCTTGAACGGCTGCTCTGCACAAGAAAGATGAGGCAGTCTGCTTCTGTTAAGATTCACAGCCACGGAACCCCATGGGGCACTTCTACTCTATCCTACAGGATCACTATGAGCCTTAATCTACTTGATGGCAGTGAATCTACACATATTTATAGAAGCCGTGGTGGTACAGTGGTTAAAGCGCTGAACTGCAAACAGAAAGCCTGCGGTTCGAATCCACCATCCGCTCCTCTTGAGAAAGACGAGGCAGGCTGCTCCCATAAAGATCACAGCCTCAGACACCCTATGGGGCAGCTCTACTCTGTCCATGGCGTGGCTGTGAGTTGGCACTGACTTGACTGCAGAGCTCTGGTTCTGGGCTCTCTAGGGTGGAGTGGGTAATGAGCACTCTTCTGATGAGAGCTGAGGGCCTCTCCCAAGACAAACGGACTCAAGATAAATCCGTGTCAACCTCAGGCTGTCCATCCCTGCCCTGAAGCCCACGCTTAAAACCGCCAGGTAAGATAGCACCACTCCACGCACAGGGGACGAGAGAAAAGCAGATCCCAGAGGGGCGGGAACTGGGACCATCGACCTGAGAAGCCGGGGGACGGGTTCCTTGCGTAGAAGGCACTTCGGCACCAGACGCCAGCAGCCTTCAGAGGCGGCCACGAGTGCCCTCCTGGAATCTGAGCATGAGCAGGGGACTACCACCGCAGTGAGGCCCGCAAGGGTGAAAACTGGAAACCTACACCCACCAGTGAGGGCCCGCAGACCAGCGTCTGACACGAGAGGATGCGCCCCTCTCAGATCTTTCCAAACCAGGAGACAAAGGAACGAACACATGTACCACGTGTACACGTTTCATCACTGCTCACATGCGCGCGCGTGCGCGTGTGTTGTAAGGGGAGGGCCGCCCCTAACAACACACATAACTGTTATTATATTTTTGTGGTTTATTTTTATTTATTTATTTTTTCTTATCCAGGCTCCCACCAAGCTTACATGGGATTTCGGTTATGTAAAACAAAGGTGTGTCTGTGCACACACATAGCACAAAGGTTAGGAGGACGTGCACCGAAACACTAGGGGGAGCGCGTCAGGAGGGCTCCTGTTGGCTTTTATTTTCTCCTTCACTCAAGCCTCCTGTTCTCCAGTGAGCATCTCTCACATTGGAGGTTAAAAAGGGACACACAAGTTGCAAGCGGAAAAGGAAACGCAGAGCAACCCGCTCCTTTCTCTGCCAGGCAGACGGGAAGCAACCCCGGCATGCCCGACTCGCCTGAGAAACCGGAAAGGAGACGTCACCAGCGGGTTGGCACTCAGCGCAGGGACTGGCTCGTTACTGGTGAAGGCAGGAAGGGCTGAGGCAAACCGACCCCTGCCGAACCCACGCCATCACAGGCAAAACGAAGAACCGTCTATAACTGTGGTCTGCTGTAACGATGTCAAGCCTCTACGGAGAGCTCACGCACGTTCCCATTCAACGGTACTCACCTAAGCTGGGGACGGACGGTCATGAAACCTGGGAGCTGGTCCCGCTAACTTTCTCAAGTTGTACTTAAGATATGTAAACTCCTCCCAACTCAGGAAAGGTGAGCTGCTTCCCAACACCTGGGCACCGAGGGAAGAGACCCCTTCCAGCCACTCGGTATTTGCTGGCATCACCTCTGGGGCCAGCCACTGCTGAGGAGGCAGCCTGACTTCTGTCACTGGGCCCTGGAGCTCACCACCATGTGTCTGCAAGCCAGGGCCACCGCTGCGACTGGGTATTCTCGCGCTCACTTGGCTGGCGCTGTTTCCTCCAGGATCACGCCTAGAAGGCACTGGAACACCCTGCCCAGCTCTGGAGGCGCCCCGCAGAAGCCAGCCAGCCAGTGGTGAGACTACAGAAAGTGGTGTTCAGAGGAACACTTTGGAATCGACTCATCGACTGGAGAACACTGAGAGAGCAGACACCCTCTCCACAGACAGGGGTGAGGGCCCCTTCCTCAGTGTCCACCCCACGTCAGGGCGCTCAGAGGGACGTCCCAGGCCCAGGGAGAAAGATGGGTCGCTGGGGCTAAGGCCAAGCCGCACTGGCTGAGACTCCGCCAGGCGCTCTGGAGACAGGACAGACAGACATGGTCTCCAGCCCCGTGGCTGGTCTCAGCTTGACCCCTGCCGGCTGACTCGGCGTCTCTGAATCCTGCACGTGGAGCCCTGCTACCGGTCAGTGCTGCGGCTCTCGCTCATTTCCCCACACGCCCAGCACCGGAGAAGGAACCAATGATGACGAAAGCACAGTGAGAACTGGGTTCCAACGACCCCACTTCAACGATCTGTTTGGTCAAGGGCAAACGCAGCAGTCCCCCACCACCGTCTCGGGAGTATGGGGTTCTTAAGCCTCGGAACTTAGTTTCTTTACATCTATTAAGAGCTACATCAACGTGCTCACTCTGCCACAGGCTATGAAGCTGGTGAAGGAAGCATTGTTCGAAACATGCGATTCCATCTCCGCTGTGCTCACCACGAGGCCCCTCGTGGCCGTCCAGGGCCGTCAGCTTTTCTTACTGGATCACTAAGCCACTTCACAGTTCAACAGTTTAAAACGTTAATGGAGGAAGAACTCCAAAGTGAGTTTAGAAAGTCAGCAATACCCTAGCTTATCAGCAAGACAAAATGACTCGTACTTCAGAATGTCAGAATCCTGAAAACAGAATGAGTCCCCCATAAGGCTCACCCTCCATCAGTGTTCGAGTATTTAGACCTCAGCTCTTAGCCATCGGCAGGGATGCGGTGGGGGAGTAAGGAGGGGCTGGGCTCAGTCCTGTAACCACGGAATCAATCTTCCTCCCCAGGAGTCCAGACAATTGTACATACAAATTCAAAGGCTTTAGGGCCACACTGATGCCGGCTACCGGACCTAACTTGCACTTTCCTCTTTGAGAATGATGCAATGCCTCTAATTTACAGAAACGCACCCACTCAGCCATCAACAGCCACCTGAACTCTAAACCAGTGAGCAGAGGACAAGCCTCCTCTGATCTCATCCAAAAGCTACCTTCCTTGGGGAGCAGTTCAACATATTTAGTTCTAGAAGGAAAATGATGACAAACCCCTTGGAAAAATTTTTTACCCATCACATAATGAAGACTTAAGAGCTGAAGAAAGCTCCATGGTGTAAGGGAACGCAGTTGTGTTCTTACTCCTGGGTCGGGAGGGAGCTGGAAATGGCGTCTTACCTGCAGCAAAGGCGGAACACATCACGAAGAACATCCCAACAGCGATCCTTTTTAAGGATGAGGGGAGTAAGCCGTTTCTTCTCAAAACGGGATCAACCAGCTTGTCCTTCAGAGGGATCAGCAGGAGGATGAGCACGGCATCGAACATGGTCAGCCAGGCTGCGGGGAACTGGGGTGTGCAGAGTGTGCGCGTGAGAGGCGGCCTGTGTGCCCGGCATGGGAGCGCCTCATCTGCCCCCAGTGTCTGAAGAGCAGGTGCTCCCTGGACAAAGGCCCCAGCGTCCTACACAGCACGACCTCCCGGACAAGCTCTCGGCTTCGAGCCACCGGGACAGGAAAAGGTCTGTGCTTCTGAAAGCCTGCATCTGCTCTTCTGGGCTCTGAAGGGGAGAGTCTGCAGCATAAAGGACTCCACACAAATCTGGGAATCAGCGTGTCCAGTGGGAAATACCCCTAAAACAGTCAGGCTCAATTCCAGTAAGAACATCTTCAGCTTATGCTAACAGCGAAAACTTACAACTACAATTGGCAGAGAAAGCCCTTCACTGTGGAAACCCCAATGGACAATCTTCAGATCATTTCAGCCACTCTTACCGTATGAGGGGTTGGTGTGATACTTGAAATTTCTGGAATCTTCAAATGAAGACTCTGTAAAACATACGTTGTCTGCATCTGGGTATAAAAAGCAGCATCGTTACACGGAAACCGACCCCATCTCCCAGATGTTATGAGCCTGTCATCACCCCCACGTGGACATTGCGGGGTGAGAGCCGACAAGATGCCAGCACAGACGCTGCCCCATCGGCTACGGGGCCACCTGAACGTCTCCTGGACACCAGCACTGCACAAGCACCACCAGCGGCTCAAACAGGCAGGGGAAGGCGGAGCCCTGAAAACCCATCCCCAGCTGCTATCCTGGCAGAGTGCTCCAAACATTCAAAGCAGCCAAGATGAGCCCACAACTCAAAACACAAACGCCAAGCTCCTGAAGCCTGGTCTGGAGACATGGCCAGAGTCCTCCAGGCTGTAGTGGTGGGCAAAACACAGGGCAACGTTCCGCCGAGAGAAAAGGAAACGTAATCTGTTCACCACCACTCACTTGAAAATACACTGTCCAGTAAGGTATCAAAGCCAAGAAAACAGGGATAATCTTGACAAGAGCTTTCACATCTTCCACTTTATCTTCAGGAAACGGTCCTCCTCGAGACATCTTACATGAATCAAACAGACTGTGTTTAGAAGGTTGCTGAGAGACGCCACTGCTTTCACTTTGGGAAATAAAATGAAGGAATTAGTTTTCTTCCCCCTCCCAGAATCCATTATTTGGTAACAAATTCAGTTTGGAGACAGGAAACCAGCCCACTGTATTGAATTTGCTTCTGGTTCATTCTGTTGCCTGCTAATTGTACACAACACATCCAGCCACCGCGTGGTGTCTAACACCATGTCCTACTGCAGCTTCCAGAAGGACTTTCCAGTCCAAGTGCAACTGCACCACCGTAAACCTACAGGCTGGAAGGCAGAGTTCAGCAGTGGCCCACCAGTGGCTGATGCGAACCTCAGCTTCAGCCACTAAACAGCCACTGGTGCCGGGAGAGGATGTCTGCAGTGGCACCTGAGGCTGCCAATGTCAACGTCAGGGGTGTCACCAAACTTCTACCTGAAAGACACTTTCACTGCGTGGTTTTGGTGCTTTAATTAGCTAATTCCTTCAATGCCAAGGCCTGACCACCAGGACCAACATGGTTAAAGGAAATCATGCTGGTTTATTTCGCATGTAGGAACTGGTGTTAACTATGTGGACGCATTCTGTTCTGCACAAGCTCTCGCTCAGGTTAAGGAAGCAGCAGAAGGGTTGGCGGGAACTCTGATGGCGCAGTGTCTAAGGCACTGGACTGGGCAATCTCCTTCTGTAGAGATACCGCCTCAGAAACCCAAGGAGGGCTCACCATGAGCCAGAGTTGACTCGACGGCAGTGAGTTACCCAGGGCACACAGGGTAAGAAACATGCCCAAAGTGACAGAGCTAGGCAGCGGGCCAGGACAGGGACCCAGGCAGGCCCTGAGCACTGGGTCACCTCCACAGTCACTCTTGGCCACATAGTCCCATCAGTCACAGTACATGGCCCTTTCCCTAGCAGGCTGCTTTACTCCACGTGGGTCTGCACCATTATTTTTGTTATCAAATGAACAGGTCTGACCAGGCAGCCACAAGGGCTTTCCAGCTGGCAAATGTCCTAGCAGCTCAGGTTCTCAGGGTGAAGCACGGGAAAAAAAAAAAAAAATTGCACACTTTTCTGAAAAGTCCGAAATACCAAGAGATATTCAATTAACTGCCTTCAAGACCCGTTCCGATTCTGGCGGTCAGGTATAAACGCCAGCTTTCTAGTTTATACACTCCTGTGCTGTTTAACTGTTTTAAACGTAAATGCTGCGGTTTTCAATCTGGGCTGCCAGAGTGGAGGAACTCCAATAGGTAAATGAATTTTAGTTTAGGCAATGTTTGGTCGTGGACACAAAATTCAGTCCACCAGGTTAAGAACTGAGCACTTCTGCCTGCCCACCTCTGTTAGCACTCACACCAAAACAACCTTGGGAACACACAAGTAACACTCAGACACGGCTCCACCCTTCCGTATGGGGCAGTTTAGTGGGGAGAACCGGAAGGTTCTGAACTTAGGAGACATTCGCTGTACCACCAGTGGAAAACTATGTACCGCTCACACGTACTGCTGAATTACTACATCACACTAAACGTGTTACTCTAAAACCATCTCAGTTTCAATTATCAGAACCATTTTCACACCAAGAAGCATTCCTCCGGGTTACTGGTTATAGCGCTTTTGTTTCATGCTGTTAAAATGTTTTAAAAACTGCCAAGATTAAAAAAAACACACACAAAAACCCAACCGCCACTGAGTTGTTTCCAACTCACAGCGACCGCACTGGGTTTTCGAGGCTACAGACCTTTAGGGAAGCAGACTGCCTCATCTTTCTTCTGCAGAGCGGCTGGTAGATTTGAACCACCAACCTTCTGGTTAGCAGCCACATGCCTTAACCATTACACCACCAGAGCTCCTTAAACTTCACTTTGTTCATACACGTTGTTAGTATGTGGCTCTGCAATACACCAGTCCATCCTGGCATCTGGTCACAATGACATCGGTAGACAGGGTGAGCCCGCTGCTTCACCCCCAGAAACCGCCTGCTCTCCAGCTCTGAGAAGTCTCTGCTCTCTGGGGCCCTCGCTCTCTGTGCATGTGTGTAACTTCCTCCTGGAAAGCCGGGCATTCTCACTGATCCTCCACTCAAAGATGTGTCTCCAGAGAGATCTAGGCCCCTTCCACTCAGGGCAGAACAAACAGCACACACACAATGATGTGCCTCTGAAAACAGCATCACCTGACCTTCCAGACACAGATCTACTGAGGCCAGAGAGAAACTGGGATGGGCCCAGATGAAGGCAAGAGCCCCCAGAGTGAGGATCCTGGATGATGGCCCGGATGGAGGTGAACGCACTGCAGTGGCAAGCATGGATTATGGCCCTGTGTGCTCCCCTCTGTGCTTCTGGGGTCTCTACGTGACCTCTGAAGGTCTGGCAGAATCCCCCCCACGTGGCAGCTCCAGAAACCACAGCTGGTCAGCCTGGAGGATCAGCAGGCCCGTAAACGCTCCTCACGGAGCTCCTGGTCCACCCCGCAGAAGACAGTCTACAACCCCGGTACACAGAGAAGACAGATGCCAATGCCACGGGAAGCAGACTGGGAGCTGGCCTGTGGGAGAGCATGCCAGCATGCAGTGCTGTCCACTAAGGGCGTGGCCGCCCTCCTGAGAGGCAGTGGCTGCCACAGCTGAGTGGTCAACCCCAGAAAGCAGCCCCTATCAAGAACTCCCACCACGACCAGAATGGTCCCCACGGAGGGGTGTTTCGGGGCAGAGGGCATTTTCCAGCTTGACTGCAGCGGTGGTACCCGACTGGGTGAGCGTGTGAAACTTCACAGAACTGCCTAGCTGAAAGGTCAAAGGTCCACTCAGTGAAACCGACATGTAACTATCTCCACGAATAACAAACTATTCCTGTGGTCTCGGGCTGAATTCTGGGCTCTCTTTTTATTAACCTGGATCTAGGGCAACCAGCTGTCCTGTCTGCCCAGTACTGAGGGGTTTCCCAGGACACGGGAAGCAGTGCTGAGGTGGGAGACCCC